GCTGAACAAAGGGACACTCGTCTAAAAAATTTCTTCCAGCCACGTTTCTGGCTGTTGCTAGTGGCTATTACTTCATGGTCTAGATGGCCCTTTGCTCTTTGGTAGAAAGAATACAGACCTCAAGGAAAAACTYCAGCTTCATGCTATGGGAATTTTAATTCCACTGTGTGGATCCTTATGAGTGAGGGCTGCTGTGTGATGCTGATGCAATATCTTAACTTCTCGGAGCCTCAGTTTCCTATCTGCTACAAAGCAGCACTGAGCAATGGCTGACATTTAGGTCCTCTCTGACTCGAACATTCTATCTTTAAGGATTTCAATATGATGAACAAAAGCTAATCTCGTTTTCTTGTTTCATCTTTTTCGTGGCCTATATCAAGGTTCTCAGAAAAGGTTCTAAGAGACGCTACTGGTGATAGAGACTGCAGGGTTCCTCAGGCCCTCCTTAGAAATGGACACCCAAACGGACATCTTTCTTACGGACAGAGGGGCCAGCAGTGCTCCCACGGACACTACCTAAGTTAGCAATGGGAAGAGAGCTGGGGTCAGCTCTAAGAAGGCTCACGGGCTCCCTGCTATAATGAGAAGCTAAACCAACTTCACCCAGGGATAAAGAAGTGGCAGAGAAACCAGCACATCTAGAGTCAAAGACTCTGTCCCCAGTCCCACCTCTGCCACATACAATTAATGGTGGGAAAAAAAAAATTGTGAGTTTCATAAAAGAGAATTAGAAATCGTTCCTGCTTCACAAGGTTATTGGCAGGATTAAGTCGAGAAATGTGCACAAGGCCTTCCCAAGGGCTGTGGCTCACTGGTAGGTGCTAGTTCTTTGGGGACATGGCACAGGTCAGGCCTGTGCGAAGTCCTGGGTTCAATTCCCAACACCACAAACAAAACAAGGAAGGAAATTTGCACAGAAGGATCTAGGTAGGAGCTCTGTACTCACACGCCCTTGTTATCATGGCTAATTCAGCTGATGTTTACTCATCCACCCCCCAACCCTYAGCAGACACTCTCCACGTGTCCCACCTGGCCCTGCAGACGGACAGGACAGGCCTAGGCCCTGCCCACCCCTGGCTCTACAGAGGGAGTGCCTCAGAAGCCGCTAGGCACAGAATCACGGCCCACGGTCTGGTGTGGTTAGAACCTTGAGGGTCTCTGGAAGACACAATGCAGGAGTGGCATCTTGAACAAAGTCCCAGGGCTGAGCTATCAGATTCGAGATGTGGGTGAGTGAGGAGAAGAGGAGAGGGGACACCCCAGGCCAGCAGAAGGCCCAGGTTCAGACAGAGAACCATGGAAGGAGTCCCAAGGAGCCTGCAGCATTCAGGGCAGCTGGGACTGGAGATGAGAGTGGAGAGAACAGACCGGGGCCAGGCGACCAAGAGCCCGTGTGCCTCACTAAAGACAGGACCTTGCAGCCATTGAGGGGGGCTAAGCCAGGGTGCAACGGCACCAGAGTTCTGTGGGGACATGGCAGTGACGAAGCTGCACATGAGGGAGAGGGTGGGCTGGGAGGGGCCCGGGATCACTCTATTCTGGAGGTGGTCTGGCCCCTAAGGACTCCTGGAGGTGAGGGAGATGGAGGAGTGTGAGGAGGCAGCTGGGGGCATCGAGTGACCAAGCCAAAGGACAGGAGGAAGGATCTAGCCCTGAGGGGAGATTCAATCGTGGGATTCAACTTCAAAAGCACAATACCATCTACCATCGGTGAAATTATCTTTTTCTCCTTTCCTATATGCCGGGCGATTGCCAAATATTACTCCAGCCCCTTGAAAATAGATCCAAATAGATATTAGATTATACATTTGAAAAGTTTTAAATATGACAGCCTCAGATTAGGAGAATCTGTACGTTACTATACTACACTATACRTTAGCTCACATCCTCTACCGACCTGGTAACATCGGGGTCTTGTAAAAACATTTACTGAACACCCAAAATCAAGGTCTCACGGACTCTATTATTGTTGAATACTCTAGAAGGTTTCTGATGGTTGGCTGAGGTCCTAAGGAGCTGATCTAGGATGTCTGCATTTTATTTCTGTCTATAACTAGAGAAAAATAAAATTATTTGCGCCAGGTAACTAAGGAAGACATGTAGCATGGGACTCCACAGAAGCCCCTGATCTCGACTTTATGAGCTTGGAAAGGCAGTCTACGAGATTTCAGAGGACAGTAGGGACACCCAGGACATTAGGGGAAGACAAGGTGCTTCATAATGAAGCCTGGATAGAGGCAGACTAGAACCTAAGAACCAATAGGGTCTATGCTTTCTGCAAAAAGCAATATAGGACAGGTTCTCGAGAAATGAATCCTAGGAGAGTTCTCACTTAACATACAAAAATCACAAATTTAAATGTTGTTTGCACTGACAGAATGGCACCCAAGACTCATACCCTCAGAGCAAATTCAAGCAAGTTTGACCTGGTGCTAACTCGGGGGTCGGACTGCAGGGAAGAGGTCCACATTAGCAACTTCTTGGTTGAGACAGTCAAATGACAGGGATGCCAAAAGACTCCTTGAAGCAATAGCAGCTGCTGACACCCTTTTGTGAYGCACGTCACTGTCCATAGCATGTCTTTTACCACCACTGGTGTCACATCAGACACTCTACACATGACAGTTCCGCACTCTGGAGCTCAGTGCGACAGGCTGCAAGTTCAAAAGCATTGGTGATAAATGTTCCTGAGGACTGAATCCTGTCCAAGGGAAGAGGTTCAGCGGGTGGGACTTCCAGGAGCACCACGGCCTAAGCAAGGGTGTCCTCCCCACCTGGTACAGGAGTACTCCTCAAAAACTTAGTTTAGAATTCGTAATGCATTCTTCCATCGAAAGGCAGCTAACTCTATAGGACAAAACCAAAAGCCTTCTAAGAGTTACATTATGGTTCCTTGGGAGTTTTGGATTGTAGACATAAGCACTGGCCCTGTCTAAGACCCAGTTTTTTATCCTCATGAAACCTTGAATCCCTGGGAACCACAAGTGGAGCAGAAACTACCCTCGGAAAGCACAGACTGAATATACTCTCATCGGCTCAGGGAACCCCAGYTGGAATGCCATGATCATGATTTTCATCAATTTGCCTATCAAAAAAGAAAAATCATTGAAACATGATCCCGGCTGGTTGACCATGCTTGATTTTTCTGCCCTCTCCATAGCAGTGGCTTCGTCCTGGGAAGTCATCTACTTTTTGACTCATCAGAGGATGGGTTTTCTATATCCAAGTTCCCTTTGGGGAAAGTGCATGCCTCTCCCCACTTGGCCCATTCATGCGCAGTCAGAACCTTCTGACCATCACAGAACGTTCTCCTCTACGGGAACAATGTGATGAGAAACTTTCTAATTCTCCCAGAAGGGTAGATATTTGTACTCCCACATAGTGGGATGTTTTCGATGATCACATGAAGTTAACTCACATACTTTTTCTTCTTGGTTAAATCACTGTAATGCTGGATTGATTAACTCACTGAAGACCTCTATAGGGATACCCTACATACTTTGAGTCATGGAAAAGTAAAAAGAAAGTTATGCCAAGAACTAGTTTATATCATTAGGTATTTTACTATTATTCCTCCTTTGGATAAACAATTTCACAGTCATCCACTACTGACCCTTATCTTCACTTAGTGACCAGTGAGTGTTAAGGTAAGGGCCTCAACCCACCAGGAAGCCACTTGCATGGGCTTCCTATGACCAATGGGCTCATTTCCTCTTCAGATTACACCCCATTTTGCCCSAGGATGATCACCCAGGTCTCAAAGAAGCTCAAGAAAAGTATCAATYGACGCACAAGATGAGTTAAGATTTTGATCCTGATTTTGTAACTTTTATGTTTATTKACATGATCCCTGAAGAGTTAAAACTGCGTATCAGCCCTTCCCTTTGACGCACTTATCCTGTGTTTACTGAAGCCGGGTTCTCAATGTTGGCTTCACAGGGCTTGCCCAGTACTGTTTTAAATGTACAGATGAGGGAAGAAAGAAAACAAAGTGAGAAGAGATGAAAGTAACTTATCATCAAAAAGCATGAAAACAGCTAGCTATTCASCTAAATAAAAAATAACATATTTAGCGATTTGTAATATAAGGATAAAATGAACTCACTGGGTCTCTGGAGGTCTGCAATATGATCTTTGCAAAAGGTAGCTTGCCAATTTAATTGAGGTAGGAGTTATTTAATTTTTTTACAGGTATAGTTTTCAATAAAACTACATATGCCTATAATAGTGCAATGGCAGATGTGTCTCGATTATTAGAGGTGGGCTCCAGGGAATTTATACAATGGATCTTGAAATCTGTAAGCAGCTGTGGGGGGGGGGGGGTGAAATGAGAGGGGAGGGTGTCGTACCACACACACATGTTCTTTAAGTGCAGCAATGTTTTGTTATTTTACTGCAGGTATATTACAGAGATGAAATTTAATAACTTACTGTATACAATACCAATAAAACTGAGAAGATTCAGTGCCCTGCTGTTCATTAAGGCAGTCCAAATGAGCTCAGATTATTCTGTGTGCATGCACGGTCAAACCCCAACATGCAGAGACCCGCAGATGCAGTGCTCTGGAGAATGGCCACTGCTTGAAAACCTCCAGGATGTTCTCCTTCACTGCAGCTCGTCAGGGAATCACTGTTGTCCCAAACCCTCAGAAACATAGCTTTRAGGTGGGCTGGAAATATGATGCATCTGATCAACAGAAAGTCACAGAACTCTTTACTGAAAGATTTCGTCTGACAAGAGAGGGGAAGGGAAATGTGGGCTATGTACATTTTGTTAAGTGCCATAAGAATGTAACAGTGATAAAATACTGTATTCACCCAAATCTCACGAAATGTCAGGCTGAAGTCAGAACCCCACCAAAATGTGACTTCTCCCCTGATTAAAAACAAGAAAAATCTGGCACAAATAAGGGCCCCCGCTATGAAAAAGGCAAGATTTGCAGAATCTTGAAATGCTAAAGCCAACTAAATAGCCCCACCGCTTTGGGTTCTATCCTCCCTTACATCCACTTCCTTCGATGATCCACAACACACTGGGTACTGGAGGGCCGGCCACGTTGTAGGAAGCTCAGTTGAGCTATCTGTGAGTGAAAGCACATGTAAACAAATCCGCATAAACATCCCAAGCACAAACAATTTTTTTCAAAGAGTGGGTGCTTCAATTCTAAGCACGYTATCAGGCATGGCAGTACTCAAGAATATCTCTTCTGGTTCAAAGTATTTCTTTAAAAAAAAAAATAAACAGTTCTTAATAAATCCTTTTGACTTCAGATTAGGGGGGTTTGTCCGTATCTTCTAGTGTTCCTGATATTTAATTTTGGGTGTCAGTTCTAGCAGTTTCAGTAAACATTTCCTCATCAATGGAATAACACCAAGCCTGTCCTCAGACAATAGAATAAACATTTCTGACAGTTTGCATTGAAAATAAATTCTGATGCTAAACTGTGAGTACACCACCTTTCTCAGAGAAAGAAGCTATAGAGCTACCSGGATTCCTAAATGTTATGCAGGTATACTTCAACCTGAAACTTTATCTGGTCTATCCCAGAGTTAAATCAATTATGTTTGGTCATTAATTGATTTTGTCCTTTCTTTTTACATATCATAAATATAAGAAAGGATTATAGTCCTAATTGCTAGTGGTTATTAAAAACTCCATAATGCTTTTCATAAGAAAGGAGACATTAATCCTAAAATCCTGGTGAAATTTCAATTTGTATACGAGAAGTCCATTTCTTTGGTGTCTCATAAATCATCTCACAGTGATTTCAAGGGCRTTTTAATGCACTCACTCTTATAAAACTCACCTAGGCTTCCAAACATACATTCTGTTACTCCATGCATTTCACAAGTAGGTTAAATGCCATAATCAAAAAAAGGGGGTGGGGGGAGTCACCTTTAAGAGCCTACTAACGGTATTATTTCAGAATCTTGTTGTATGTAGCTACTGTGCAGGAATAATAATTTGATCTATGATGAATCCAAATGTGTGCAATGGCAAACCACATTCCGCCGGCACTGCACAAAAATCAAGGCCAAAATATCTACGMATTTTAAAGAAAGTGTTCGTGGCTGTTGCTAAAATGTGAATTGGCATATTCCACCCCAGCCTTTTCACAGGAAATCCTCATTGGTTTTAAGGAAATTACACATGCTAAGTTTGAGGATGTTACTGAATAGATTATTCATAAACTTTTTTTCATTTTTAAAGGCAGGACAGGCAGGCAACATGCCCTCCTCTCCCCCGACCTCAGCCACTCGAATCAATTCCGAGGATACCTGAGTGGAGTCACTCAGTCCTAGGTTCTGTTAGGTCCAGATTCTCCAGGGAGCCTGAAACCTACTGTGAGCACTTTCCTAGACAGACCTGACACAGGCCTCAGAGCCTAGAGAGCCCATCCTGGCCTGGGCAGCAGGGATCCCAATGTGGCACAGGACTGGCTTTGAAACCGGATATTTTGGAGTCCACAACCAGACTCCAAAACTTCCTTGGACTGCAATTTGGGGTCTGCTTGTCTTATTTCTAAATTATTGCATGAGCAGTATTAACACTCAGAGGTTTACACTGGCACCTGATGTAAGTCCCCCRGGCTTCCTTTAGACTAAACTCAAACTACCTTTCAGCAATTCCCTCATTTTGACATTTGCTCATCACCCACAACTGGACTGGGGCAGGGATTACTTCCACTATCTCGCTGATCCTTGATCGAGCGGCCGTGTGGAGCATCACGGCAGTCCACCAGAGGGGTCGGCCAGCCACTGATGGTCAAGCCTGTGAAATGTTTAACAGCAATTACTAGAATGTAGGAGGGCAACGTGAGGATCCAGAGAMATTCAAGGGCTTACTGCAAGATTAATCTCACAGCAAGGGACACAGAGATTATCATACAGCTCCAAATATCATCAACAGAATACTGGAGTTCGGTTTGCAAGGAGACACACCTACCACTACCTCCTAACCTGCAGTTAAGGGCTTTCAGACCCTCTGGGGTGGGCCCTAACTATTGCTCTTATTAATATACTTTAAGAGATTGGAGAATGCACAAATGCTGCCAGCAGTCTCCAAGTAAGCGACAYATTAAAGCAAAGACATTATGCTAGTCCAGGGTTAAGAGGTTGAAATCTCAGATCTGCCATTTAAAAATGGTTCTCTGAAAAATATATATACTTTTATATATGCATATGAAAAAGTATTTTGTTTAGTAAAAAGTATTTTACTAAAATTGGCAGTGCTAAAACGAAAGAAAGTTCTTCTTTGCAGGAGAATGTCAGCTGTACATGCAGAAGGAATGACAATTTAAAAAAAAATTGTCAATCTGAAATCCACTGATTTCGGTGAGGGTCATCAACACACACAAWAGCCATCCGCTTGAAGGCTGTTGGGGTAAGGGGGCATCTGCCCAGTGCCAAAGTAGCTACTGAAAGGTCATCTGCCATTTGCAAAGCAGGAATGGTTCTTTACAATGGAGTGATCTGTGGGTTGCCTCTTTTACCCAGTGATCTAGCTAGCATTACTAGCAGCACATAGTTGAACGTTCGGAAGGGATCGAATACGAAGCCTTCCACATCATCCCTTAGCTCCTCCAACCAAAAATGCTTAACCTAAACCTGAATCAAGCTTCAGACCTAATTTTCAGTTTGTACGCAAAACAAGGAATGACTGAATTTTTAAAGAGTAACACAAAGAAATAACACAACAATTCTCTAAAAGGAGGATATTTCATGAGACAAATGGCCGAGTCTCTTCGAAGTAACCATCACAAAAACAAAACAAAATAAATAAATAAACAACCAGGAACTGTTCTAATTGAAATTATAAAGAGAAACAGAAACTAAAGGCCATCCATAAATGCTTTTGTTAAAAAAAAAAAAAAGCCTATAAAGACATTTTCATGAGGATAGGAACAATTTGAAAATGAATTAGGGTTAGGAAATTACTGCTAATTTCTTGAGGGTTGATAATAGTATTTTAGTTAAATAGGCAAGTATCCTATTTTTAAAAGACACACATTGAAAAATCTAAGGTTGAAATCTGAGATCTGCCACTTAAAAATGGTTCTGTRAAAAAWAWATATATATATCCTTTTACATATGCATACACAAAGTAAAGGCAACAAATATTACCACATGTTTAATCTACGTGCTGGGTCTACGGCATTTCATTTGATTTCTTTTTCAATTTTTCTGGGCATTTAAAAAAAAAAWTTTAAAGAGCCTGCAGACCTACCTACAAAGAAGTTTTAGGAAGGTTAACTGAGCCCGGGAGTTCAAGGTCAGTCTGACCAACATAGTGAGATCTTGTCTCAAAAAAAAAAAAAAAACAAAAAAAAACTGAAGTGAGGAATGGAGTTTGATCTGATTTCGCGTGTTAACATTCAGGAAGCTGCTGGTGGGGATGAAAGACAGGATATGAATGTACTTCCCTTTGTTTTTCTCCCTAAGACCTAACACATCACTAGAGGGTTGATAAATTAAATTGTTGATCAGTGCATTGAGAGAATGGATCTATTCTTCTCTCTGGTGAGTGATGGGTCACTTTGAGGGTAGAGTATACCCAGAGCAACGCCCCAAGAGGACTGAGCTGCTTTCTGAAATACCCTCCTCAGGGGCAGAGTCTTGAGGGCGTACACACCACAAACCCAGACACTGCAATGTCGGAAAGCATCGTGACTGCAAATATCCTGTCCCATGGCGGTACATCTGAAAGATCAGACTAGGATTTTGACCTTTGGTTCTAATGCCACACCCACCAGAAACAGAGAGCATCCACAAGGTTCTCATTCACACCGTCTCCCACACACAGGCCTAGGGCAGTGATGCCACTAGGTGAGTATTCAGCTGAGTGTCTCTCCACAGTAGGACCTCTGTGTCCCTCCAGGGCCTACGTGGTAGCTTAGAAGGGAAGGCTTTCCTGATTTTCACAAGCTTAAAAAAGACGCTCAATATAGGGTTCATGGACACCACTAATTCGAACTTCACTCTTTTCCAGAAGTGATGCTAGGGAATTAAGTGATACTAGGAGGCACATGGTACACAGTGCAAGATAACATGAACATGGCCCCTGCCCTCCAGGAGTTTAAGAATCCTGGTGGAAACTGGTATTCAACAAATACGTAAATAACGGCAAATCTGAAAAATTACTAAATAGGAAAGGCAGAGTGCGAGGGTGGTATATCACAGGGAGTGGGGCAGGTGGGGTGCACAACAGAGGTTCCCTGGAAGAATGCCTAGGACCTGGGACCGAATTACTGATTACTAAGAACACTTAGACAGAATATCAGATTAAACCGCAACATGCATTTCTGCTTACACAAGGCCTAAGTAGCCATTTTCATAACAGACAAAAGGTTTTTATGGCTTTTGACTTATATCTTTTCTATTTTGACTTTAGATAAGAAAAGCTTATAGAGAACAAAAGTTCTAGAATTAAGTCATTTGTAAAACCTTTTGTATCAAAAATCAAAATAATTAAAAGAAAAAAAATATCAATTCTCAAATAGGTAATTTTTTTGAATCATTTGATTCAATAAATTAAAAATGAGTCACATAAACAACCTAAGTTACACAGAGAGAAATCCCCTTTCCTCTACAGCATCAAAGTTTCTGGAATTTAACAACACTATCCTAGATTAGGCCTAATTCTTAAATCCATCGGTCAGTTATAAGATCTAAACTTCAAATAACTTTATCAGCATAGTCCTATTTGATTACTTGCTGAGAAATAAAATGAACTTGGGTGAGGGTAAAGCTTGGCCTTCCCTAGAGAAAACAARATGTGAGCGGGGACATTCAGTTGTAAAATTTCATATAAAGATTTCAAGACATGGTGCTGATTTTCCATATATCACTAATTTTCACTGCCTTTTAAATGAAGGTCATATGCAATGTATTTCCATACCTTAAATAATCTAATTAAGGCACAAAGTCTAAAAGCTTCATGGAGGCCAGCAGAAATGCCACATTTTGAACTGGAGTCATTACCATGGAGAGTATATTTCTATAAAACAATCTAGGAAATGATCAAATCTAGCTGCACATTAGAATCACCTGGRGTGCTGTCAGAAAGCACAGGCCAAGTACTAAGTCAGGTCCTAGTAGAAWTGATCTCATAGAGGACTCAGCTCGCTGGCCACCACCCCCTCTCACATACCCATCTTGCCCAGGAAATACTATTTTAAAAAACCACAGTTTGGGACTAAGGCTGTAACCCATTGGCAAGGGGCGGGGGTTGGGGGGGACAAACAACTCCACACGCTGAATACTAACTTTCATTCAAGGAAAAACTTCCCTAACAACAATCATTGTACTGACCTCATCTCTCATTCAAAACTAAAAAGTTTTGGCAAAACTAAAAAGTTTGCAAATCACCAAACATCCTATTGCAAGCAGGACAAGAGGCCAAAAGCAAATGATATTCTTCTTCTGTGATTTGCCATGATACACACTAGAAATTAGGTATTGGCTATCACAGGTTGAAATTGGACTATCTTGCAAAAAAAAGTTTATTTCTACTCATTTTCATTTCTGTCATACTTYCCATTATAAATCGCATTTTCTCTGCCAATAAAAGTAGAATGAGGTTGCAATTTGGCAAGAAAGTTTTAAGCCTGGGTGTGACTTCCGTACCCCAATTTGATTCAAAACCAGTTTTCTCGTATTTAGTGAGAACTTTTAAAAGTCTTGTTTGGTCGCTTTTGTCTTTTTGGTTCATTTTCTACAAGATTTCAAAAGTCTCAAAAAAGTCATCAAGTTTATGTCTGATAATTTCACATCAGAATGCATTAATGAATGTATATTATTACTTACATCTTTAATGAAAACAACTTAGTTGTCGATCGTGAACCTACAGGCATTTGTTTTTCTGCTAAAATATCCATTTTTAAAAAAAGTCATGCATGAGCCTCGCACTATCAACATTAAATCCACAAGAGAAACATAATGAACATATACGTAATTATACATATTTTAACCCGATGCACTTTTTCGATCATTCATATCTCACAGTAACAATCAATTTCTCCACACAGCCTTTCTCTACCTGTTGCTTACCACCACTGATTGTCTGCACCCAACAAAACGCCCTTGGGACTGAAATCAGCATGTCCCATGCAACCCTGCTCATCCCTGTAAGACCAMGGGGACACACTATTATCACACGAAAAAGCAGCCCTGGCGCTCCTTAGGGCCCACTGGCCAAAAGTTTTAGTCCAGCATCTCAATAAAGTAGCAAACAGGAGAAAACAAAAGCTGTCCCCGCCAGAGTCACTCACCTCATCACACAGTAGGGAACCATTTCAGCTGTGATCAGCTATTTATATTCCAAGCCCAAGAGACCAAGAGATTGTGCCTTTCTTTTTGGTTTGTGTGGCTGGTGTGGTAGACTGGGATTCAAAGAACAAAAACAGCTCAAGAGAGTCCCTAGAAGACAACCTATGGTCTGCTGTACTCCCAAATTTCACAGAAAGCAGAAATTCATACCATGTACACTCCTCGCCTCCAGGCCCTAGTTCCCCAGGCAGGGAATTTCCAGTGTTTCTCTTTTAAGCATTCACACTGTTTATGGAGAGTGCTGAGACCCAGCACTCTCAGGGATAGTCGGTTCCTGCAAGACTCCCAGCCATGAAGCAGAAATAAGAAGGAAGGAATCTGCACACTCCCCAGCTAGAGAGAGGAGGAAGAAAAGCAGATGCAGTCTTATTCCCCATACACAAAAGAATTCTCCTGGACAAGGAGGTCTCAAAAGGAACCTCCCAAGGCCCAGAAATTCAGGCATCGGACAGCAGGCAGCCAGCCACCTCGATTCCCCCCTCTGCCCCTCTCCACTTCTCACCTTGTGTTTGCAAAAAAAATTAAGCTCAGTTTCACCCGAGGGAAGTATTCCCCACCAACGGAGGAGGGTCTGTGTTCTGCACACACAGACAGACTCACACGGTCTGGATGATGCTTTCACAAGTTAAGGGGCCTCACGCTTACTCAGCAGAGGAAATCTTTGTGTCTGTGAGGAATCACGCCAATTCCCATTAGTAAGAAAGGATACAGGGGCGAGGAAGCCTATTCTCTCAATGACCAGCAAAAGGGGCCCAGCGAAAACAGAGACCTCTGCCATGACCATCTGCAAAAAGGAAGGATGTTGTCAACTTTCTTCTCCCCAAAACTCTAGTGACCTCCGCCTTGACCCTCAGAAACCAGATCCACAGGAACCGGCTCTTCTGCAGGAATCGAGAGCTTTACACCAGAGACCCAGCCCTGAGAGGCTTGTCGCCCAGGCTATCTGCCCCGAACATGTGCACTCACATTCCAAAGATGTTTCCGTTGCGCTGGAATGGCTGTAAATTTCTTTCCTGCAGAATTCTTTCCAAATAAACTGCCCTGGACTGCACTCCGGCAGGAGTTCTACCCAAGCACTGTTCACCTCACCGCAACAAATCTTTTAGATGCCAAATGTGACTGAATTGGCAACTGGGCCAAAGGAGTCAACTTTAAAAATGCAAATGTATACAGGGAGAAGGAAAAAAAAAAAAAAAAACCCAACCCACCAGAATTCCACCTTTCATGAGAGATGCCTGGTACACAAATGATCCTTCCTTCAGATACTCTATTTCATTACTAAAGCGCATGTGTTCTTACATTTCTCAGGGATATATTAAACAGGTTGTTAAAAAAACCCAAATGGATTTTCTCCCCCATATCATTAAAGAAACTGGGAGGGTGAGAGAGTTCAAAAGACTAAGCATCCCTTTTCCAGTATAGAAAGAACGAACCTTCTGTTTGGGTGAATTTAAAAAAAAAAAAAAAAAAAACAAAAAAACAGTAGAGAGCTTTGAATATGAAAGAGTATCAACAAATTCTACCAGAGTTCTCCAAAGTAAGTGACTGATGCTTTTATAAAAAGGAGGTATAACAAATTAAATATATGATCGATACTGATACTGAAATGAAAAAGAAAGCATCTATAAAAATCTCAATTGTCTCGAAACGAACCTTCCTCTTCAGCCTTGGTAGTATTTTTAGAAATGGGCTCTCTCCAGAGAGTTAGAAGTACACAAATGCAGAGTGCAACGGGCACACGCACGCACACTACACCTTTGTATCACACTGGCATTTTATTATTTAACTAAAGTGCTCCTATTTTTCTAGCTCACGCATGCTTCCCCTGAGACGGCTTTGCTGTTAGCCTGCTGGCCTTGACTTCCAGCCAAAAACAATTCAGAAACAAAAAGGGACAACAAATCATATTTTCACAGACATTTTTATCCCTCAATACCACCCTGTTTTCACACAACATCATACAGTCCCTAGGAAAACTATAATTTAGGGCACTAGCCACCCGAACCCAGGGTCTGACACATGGTTCCACGAAGCATTTCCTGTGCGAGAAATTCTTAAGTTCTTAATTGCAAATAAACTCTTTTGATAGAACCACTCTAACCACATTGCTGGTTTGCAAACAGTGCCACTGGTGCAGGCTGATGGATTAAAAAATAAAAACAATCCAGTGGACGAAGTCCTGATACGGCAGAGATCTAAGGATGAGGTGCTTATCAGTTCTAAGCTCTGAATTCTTCCAAGACTTACACACACAGTCACCAGCAGACTTTCAGTGCATCTTCAGTGACACAGTTGAAAATGTAAAATCGAATTTACAAAGCACGMTGATATCCCCAGGTTAATCCTCTACACCCTTCCCCAGCCCAGAGTCACACTTACCTGGTGGCAACCCTGTAAGTTTGATTCTCTCCCATAAGATGAGTATGAGCCCCTTTCTGTTTTACCTGCCAAGAGAAACAAGAACAAAAAAAAGTATAAATCGTGCTTTTCCTTTAAAAACAAATCTCCTGCAGGTAACAGACATCTACTTCTCTTCCCCGATGTTTACATACGTAAAGTAGGCACTACTGGCAATGTGTGCAAGCAAGAGAGGGATAACACGTCCTCACTCTGGCGATGATAAACTGGAAAAAAATATCCTTCATTCCTATTCTTAGCCAAACTGCTCCACACTTCCAAAAACTGTCATTCCAATGGCCTCCACTTTCTCTAACAAACAAATTGTCATTCCTTATTTTCACTTTCTTTCTCTCTCACAAAATTTAAACAATTTCATTTTTATTTACACAGCAGGCAAATTATCTATGTAATGACCCTGGCCTAGTCATTCCCATTGATTATATTGACACCTAATGGTGAGGCCAAAGCTAATCAATCACAGGCTCTCCAGATGGTGAGTTTAGCAAAGAAACTATTCAAAATTCTGAGTCTCTCTGTCCTTCTCCCTCCCTCCCTCCCTCCCTCCCTCTCTCCCACCCTTTCTCTCTCTCCCTCTCTCTCTCTCCCTTTCCCAGGAGTAAATTCCAATATTATCAAGATTATCATGGATTTACATTTGGGAAAGAGGCTTTTGACAATTCACCCACCCAGAACCCAAGTTCAGATTCTGCCAATAGGGATCATGGGAACGTGCATGTCTTGCTCCAGCTCTGACTACTCAAGTCGGAATCTGCACRCTGCTCTGCAGGCGTGTGTGGAGCCTCGGATGCTGTGTGGCCACGTGGAGGGATGAAATCAAGGCTTCTCGTTTGTTGCTTTATAAAGTATGTTTCACCTTAATAATCAGCAGGGAAGATAATGAAATTACAAGAGATCTAAGCAGTGGAGTCCAGCTGGTGACCTATGAAGAGTCACAGAAAACTGCCCCAGCCAGCACAGGCCAAGGAACTGGTGAAGCAGCCAAAGGCTAGGGACCTCACCCCACTCAAGACTGGGGATTCTCCTCTCCCCTCCACCAGGGCTTCAAGTGCACTATCCTTTATACACAGATCTAGACTACTCCTTTCCCCACTGGAAAATTCAAAACGTGTACTTTAGCTGGGCACGGTGGCACACACCTGTAGTTCCAGCTACTCAGGAGGTTGAGGAGGGAGGACCTCTGGAGCCCAAGAGTTTAAGACCAGCCTGAGCAACACAGAACACTCCATCTCAAAACAAAACCACCAAAATACAAAACAAAACAAAAAAATTCTTGTATTTGGAGGGTCTGGGTGCACAGTCTTCTAAGGCTTATGACCCTCAATCTTTCCCCTCTCAGCCCAGGTTAACACAAATGCTAAAAGTTAATAGTGGCCTTTTGTCTTTGAGCTCAATGGCAATACTATTAGAGTATGCCGCTCTGACAGCACACAAAGAATGCATTTTTCCAAAATTTTATATCTGGTCAAAAGCATGCACTGTAGCTAACTAAGTTACTACACACAGACACACACACACACACACACACACACACACACATATGATTTTCAAAGAAATCCAAACCTGAGTCTTTAAATTAACCCCTTCTCTCTCTCCTGCTGTTAACTTTTCTATTCAGTGGCTCTCAAACTTGGGAACCTCCCCCCCATTTCTGGTATAGTGTTCAGTGCAAATTATAAAATCAATGCCCGTATCACCTTCAATTCCAGTGAAATAAGATGCCATCACATTGCCTGTCAGTCTTAGAGACCTAACAGAGTAACTTTCAGTGCATGGGGTCATACCCTGAGGAACAGGTGCATTTACCTATGTCAGCAATGTGCCTGGTCACGCTACACACAGTAACTGATTCTTCTAAGTCAAGTTTAAGGCTACTCCTACCCTTTAACTGCTCTTTATAAATACAACTAACAGAAAAGGCTCAACCCTGATGAGCTATATCAAAAGGGAAGATATTATATTTTCCCTTAAGCTCTTGCATCTAAAAAATCTCAGTACAATCATAACTGTTCCTTTTGACATGTTCGTTTTGACACTGTTTCATCACTAGACAGGCAGAGGCAGGGAGGTAGACTGAAAAATAAACCAGGATTCACTTGAACTTCATAGGACATTGAACAGCTAGTGTCCTGTTTTAGTCRTTTCTGAAAACTGAATTGTAAAATACAGTTTGAGAAAGGCAGGCCACCAACACGTTTTCTTCCTGTAGAAAGAATGACTGAAGCAATCCCTGATAGAATGTTACCACGCAGGATTATTTCCTGAACTCGACTCCAGCACACAGAAATGGAGGGAAGAATTTTCCTACCAGGATCTGTCTCACTCTGTATACAGAAGTGGGGATTATTTCTCCTGTTATTTTAAAGCCAGAAGGGCAATGCAAATAGTAAGGATTAAAGAGAGAGAGAGAGAGAGAGAGAGAGAGAGAGAGAGAGAGAGAGAGAGAAAACAGGTGGGGGAGAAAGAGAGGAGGAAATAACAGAAAGAGCAAGGGGGAAGGAGAGGCGAGAAGGGGGCAGGAGAGAGGAGAATATGAATTCACGATGCAGAGTCCCCAAAGTACTCTTGGCGACATGGACTCAGCACTCTTTTACTATCATATCAGATACAGACTGCTTAATCTTAATTTTGCTTGTTAAAAAATATTTATCCAGATACAAAAATAAACCCACTGCAAATTACAAGTTGTCAGGGTTAAAAATCTACTTCTGTTTGTGTGGGGGAGGATAAGAGACCAGCATAGACATGAATCATTCTCAGTAATTTGAGTGTTTCCATGACATCAATGGGCACCCGTCCAGGACTCTGTCGAAGTCTGCGAGGTACCAAAGAGGCAGCGCAGCCAGCAGGAGGCTGGGAGGTGGACTTGTTTTTTTTTTTTTTTTTTCCAAGGATTATGCTCCTTGTGAAGATTTCATCTGTAGCATCCACTTTTACCATCAAATAGATTGCTCCGGAGATCATGAGCGAACACATTTCATTCTGATAGTGTAAGCCTTTAACTTTATTACAGCTTTTTGTTCCCAAATTCAACTATAAATCTGCCCTCAGAGCCCAAAACCCTGTTTGGGAGCAAAATAATCAGGGATTGTGGATAAAGCCCAAGAACCTTCTCAAACATAAGATTTTTATTCCTATCATTTTTTTTTTTTAATGATAAAAAGCAGCCATTTTAAAATGACACCTCCTTTTCCAGGAAATTTTTTTTTTTTTTTGTAAAAAAAAAAAAAAAAAAAAAATCTTTTGTGCAAATTGTCCACTGAAAATGGGCTAGGGTCTTCATGTTGATTTTTCCCTGCTAAAAATTCACTGAAACGTTTGTTTCAGATAATAACATTTTCAAGAGGGCTGACAACATGTTTGAGTTGGACCCTTAAGGAACTATCTGTTCTCCTGAACACAAAAGCCCCCCACATTTCTGTGTCTCCTTCCATGTGAGCCATGGATTTTTGTCAGTCATACCAACTGGCTGGCGCGGACAGCCTCGGTCCTCCTTTCTCCATTCTTCGCCACCCACCTCCCCCCATCCCCACTACCACAACGGGCGCTCTGAAAGAGCTAAAGATCCTGTTTTCCCAATATTTAAAAGAGAGAGCAGTGATGAACAAACCCGGCGCGTTCACTGCGGAATTTTCGAGACAACCCTCCAGTACTAGAATGCGACAGCCGCTGCGGATATTTTTTGGCACAAAGACAATGGTGGCAGTGCCAAGCCCTATGGCTAAAACTACTCAAAAGAGGCATAAGGGGAGCATTCATCGCTCAAGTCTTTTACTGCATGGAGGACCGATGTCCATATTTTAAAAACTAAAAGTACCCGTTAGTAACATTTGTCGTATGCCCATAAATGGGGTGGGGTGGGGTGGGGGACTCCTGAAATCTATACCAGAAACAAACCTTGTCAGGCTTTTGATTCATTTTTATACCTAAAAAGGACCAAATGTTCAATTCTGCTGCTGGTGACGATGCCGGTGCACGAAACGAATGATGTGACCTAATGAAGTACACTGAAGGCTGAATGAAAGCTACAAGAGGGGATTTCATAAGCTCAGTCGACATATTGGCTAAACAACTTTCCTCTGCAAAAATGATGTATACAAGGAACATGTAATACTATGTCACAATTTTTTAAATGAAACAAGAAAAACGCTGTAAGCGAGCAGACACAACATCCGTCAATCAATCCTTCTGGAGACAAAAGAGATCAGCACGCAGCCCCTTCTCTAGAACACGTCGGCATCTACAGGGAGCGAGCCATCCAGAAAGCCACCATGGGTTCTGTCCAGAAGGACCTATCCTCCTGCTAAAAATCCATATTTAAATCTGGTTATCAAAAAAATGGCACCAGATGATAATCGACGAAGGATTCACTTGCTGCTTCTGTTGCCCATGAAAAACTAATTTAAGCAGAAAATACACAAGCAACTTACAATTCTTAAGGCCCATGTTTTTTTTTGCTGATCTAGTCGATAACCTTTTATCGGGCTGTCCCAAGAAGCAGAAGGAAAACTTGTTTTTGTTTTTGTTTTTTTTTTTTTTAATATGGGGGAGGTATGGCTAACAAATATCTACAGAATCCAAATTCGATACTTTTGTATTCCTATATTATCTGCCATTTGACTTCCAATTTTACTTCCAAGATAGCCAAGGTATCCTACTACAAGGGAACAGGTGACAATGGAAATACTGCATGCAGGAAAGAATGGTCTCAAAACTCCAATTCTATTCACAGGGATGCCGCCAAAAAAAAAATCACCTTGAGTAGGTGACTGTCTCTGGACACACGGGGTAGCTCGAAGTGACATGAAAGAGCCAGAGACGGGGTCAAGAGCAAGTTATCAATAAATGATTTCTGGAGATAAGCCTGGACATCGAGGATCCCTCTGGTGGTTGCCCAGTAGGATAGTGAACAGGTCCTATTTGTAAAAGGCCAGTGTCAGGATTACATATAAATGGCAGGTGTGTCACCCCCTCTGAAACAGGCGCACCTGGGTGGTGGGCCTTGTCATCCTCCAAGAAGCCCCGA